TTTAGTTTCGTTAATTGTCTACCGATTTAGTTACGGCACCAAAAATTACCTTGAATTTGGTGGAAGCGTGATTATTGAAATCTTGATGATGAACAATTATAAAGGTACGGGTCATTTACCCACAAAATCGATAAATGTTGATTTATTTATGGTTGATGATGAAATTTTATTGAATCTGGAGCTCGCTTGGCTTTAAAAGCCATCAAACATTTTCCAGAATCATAAATATTCAAGGAGCATTCCCACATCATAAAACTTCATACCGAAGTTCCAATGAAACATTAATCAGTTCAAGGAAATCTTCCTGCTTACATGAACTAATCAGCCCTTCATGTCAGCATGAAATTTTTATGAAATTGAACTGAGAGTTTTATACAAAATCTGAATAATAAATACAGCATACAATAAGTGTAGTATGCAGTGTGAAAATTAACATTCAGCCTATAGCTAACATATAATCGATCACCTAAAAGCTATGATTATAATTATTTCTAACATTTCCTGATTAATCAATTAATAATTAGAAATGAATAAATAATGAAAATTATAGTTTATCATGGATATGCGCTTTGATGTTTTCTGGATCATTGAACAATGCTTTCTGAATTTTTATTGTTCAATTCTGCATTTGTTTCACCACAATTGTCTAACAATTTCTCATTATGAATGCAATTACAGAATCAGCAGAATAATGAACTCTTTCATGACTGATTTTATGGACTTTGTGTTTTGAATGTGCAGTTTGAGTGTGTTTTGATGTTCAGTGAATGCATTTTGTAGAGAATTTTATACGAACAAGGAATTTGAATGAATATAAGGATTGCTTTTAGCAAAGCTCGAAGTCGAAAGGGTTGGAGTCAACTCTAGTTGACTCGACTCAACTCAAAATCGAGTTGACTCAACTTTTCTCGAGTTGAGTTCATTTTTTCGGAGTCAACTCTGAGACTCGAATTGAGTCGACTTCGAGTTAACTCGGTATTTTTTTCTGTATGAAGAAGTTGACTCCGAGTCGACTCGACTTGAGACTCGAAAAAAATGATGTCGACTTAAGTTAACTAGAGTTGAATCGAAAAAAACCCGAGTCAACTCAAGTCGACTTTGAGCACTGGCTTTTAACATCTAATGTGTTCATGACTCTAATTTTAAAGAGTTCTAATCAGAGGGCGAAGTCGACTCGAAATTTGTATGAAGTCGAGTGAACTCAAGTCGACTTTTCCATACAAAATCCGAGTCGACTTCGCCCTCTGGTTCTAATATTAATATTGCATTCAGACACAGTTGCTTTCAAATCATTAAACATGTTATCTTGTGAGCATTTTAAGAATATTCATGCAATCGACAAATTTGTATATAATAATTCAAAGATCAATATTTGATAGGAATCGAACCCACTTCCTCGCATAAGATAGTTAATCTGTTGTCAAACCAATACGATCTCTGTATCTTACTCTGACAGATTCACTTATAAATGCCTCGATATCCTAAGTTCCAAACTGATCAACGACAACAGTGCAAAATCAAAACTGCATGTCAAAATTGCGCTGCTGCCACTTACCCAACTACAATACTTTTCCAATTCGCTCTTTTTATTATTTTTTAATTTCCATTCACAATCCTTTGATTTAGTAGCATTCATTTATGAACTCATTTATTTGCTACAATTTTCATACTTTTTATTTCAGTTGCATGCTTAAATTACCGCCATAAAAAATAAAGTCATAAAATTTTTTTAATTCAATTTTCCGAAAAAAAAATGAGAAATGAGAAAAAAGAAAGAAAACAAATAGAAAATGAGGAAAAGAAAGGAAAAATGCAACACATAAAGGGTGGAAATTTACATTTTTTTTATTTCCAGAACTCTATTGAAATTCATAATAATAAAAGTAATGTTCTTTCACTCATGAAATGTAATAAAATATTTAACACAAAAATTTCTTCTATTTGACGTCATTAGCATTCACATCCTTCAAAGAAAAATAATAGAGAATAAAATGAAATTTCAGAAGTAAAAAGCTTTTATTTACATTTTTTTCTCTTTATTCTCATCTGTATGCTGTGTTTTATGATAGAGAAGATCCATATTATGAGGCATAGAGGTATGATTGTGTATCTTTACGTGTTTGAAACATTTTTTTTTCATTTCTCATGATCACCACAGGTTAGAGAAGTGAGTAAGACGCATTTGATGTGATAGGTTGTTAATAGAAGGATATAAGAGGCTCTGGAATTATGCTACGATCCATATAAAAAAGTAAATATAGTCCAAAATTCAAAAAAAGTTTTAATTAACTAGGATGGATGTATAGCAACAACGATCAAAGCTTAAACATGTCAAATCAATTTTCTAACGCAAAATTTCGACAAAATCTAGATCAAAGATTAAGCACAGATGCATGCTGTTTTGTAAAAGCTGTCTAGACATTCGGTTTTACTGCTCATTTAAGCTTTATACTAAACAAAAACTTTCCAATGATTTTATCCAAATAAGTCAAGCATATGGACAAAATGAATCTCCATCCACATTCAGGCATAATGACTTGATGAAAATACTCCCGAAAAAAAAGGGTAAAGTTCTTGAACGATATGATTCTCATTCTCATACTCTATAAATTTCCACAATATACATGCCATTGCCATCTATCCATCTAATAATTTAAACATATTCCCATAGCTATAAGAACAATTTTCATACTGTATGTGGATGGTTGTATGCTTTAAGGCACACAGTCTCTTTACCTTTTCACCATCACTTTCTCACTAACACATTCATTCCACTTCTTCTTTGTCTTTACAGTTTCTCTCTCCCTCTCGACATTTATTTTTCATTTAAGCAAATTTTCTACAGCAAAGCACAGATTTAACCCTCATATTTAGGAACAAGAAATAAAAAAAATACGAAAATTTTAGGCAACATCAAAATACACAAAGAGCATAAAGGAGAAATAGTAAAAAGGCGAGAGAACAAAGGATGATGGTGAAAATGTATGAATATACACATTTTTTAAGACAAACTGTTAGCTAGTGGTTAGGGACTTATTGTGCTCATTTTGAGTCATTTAGTTCTTTCTTATCATTTAAGACTTATGACATCCACCATTTACATAAGTGTGATTAGGGTTTGACGGTACAATGAATCAATCATCGATCAGTTCGCAATGCCTTCAGCTAGTTGCAACGTGTAGTGACACATCGCTTGGCTGGAACCCTCTCACATTATTATTATTAGGGTTTGAAACCGGCACCAGGTCCTTCATTTCCAATTAGTTCATCTTAATTCTGTTGTTTTGATTTTCAAAAATTAATTAAGCATTCAACACTGGGGTCGTTCACTTATGACGTCCATCAAAAAACCTGATTTTTAAACTCCCCTCCCCCCCTCTGTTACAAAAATTCTATAGAAAAAAATTTCCATTGTTAAACTGTCACAAAATCCTAGACCCCCCTCCCTCCCCCCCTAAATGTCAGACGTCATAAGTGAACGGTTCCTCTTAAGAATAAGAGTAATTCCTTACTTGTAATATTATTCACATCTTACAGTTCCTCAACTAGATTTCCTCTTCTTTGAAACCCACTTTCCATCCCCAAAAACAAAGCAAATAATCTTTTTATATCAAAACAGAGCTTGAACAATAAAGCTTAGACTTATTTCCCGAGCGGCAAATAATTGTTTCCATTATCCCCAATGCAATATCTAAGCTAATATTTTGAAACCTTAAAATAGCGTATGCAGTGTATCTATAGCAACAACTTGATAGCCACAATTAATTTTCAGGAAAACTCGGGAAATTTTTTTTTTGGAAGAAAGGAACAGCAGAAGCGAGAAACTCATTATGTGTGGAGAAGAAAAGAACACATTAGATTGAAACGAGGAGAAAGAAAGAAAAAAAAAGTCAGTTGGGGTATTATATTGTTTCTGCATGCTTCTATTGCTATGTATGCTTTAAAATCCCTATCGGAAGTTTCATGAATTTTCTTCTCTTTCAAGTTTTTTAATTTTTTATGAGAACGAAAATTTTGTGTGCTTTGTTTTAGAAAATTGGAATTTTTGTTGGGAACATTTTTGATACCCTGAAGGTAATTGAGCTCTAAGAAGTTTTAGATCTCATGAGAATCTAATTTGAAAGGGATGAAAATTTACAATTATTGCTTTGATGATATATTTTTGTTACTACCTTCTTGGAAATTACTAGCTTCCTATATATGAGCAATTTATATGATTAGGGATGAAATTCCTTTGAAAGATGTCCAATAATTAACAAAATTTTCTCTGTACCTTTTCACAATCTTTTCATCGGAAGTTTTTGAGAAATTTTTGATTCATAATGACAGCTCAGATTTATGATTCTATTGCTGCTTTCATCATTGATTTGAAATTCTTATTTTAAAATAGAGAAATTTGCTTCCTGGATCTTTATAGAATCCTTCGTTCCATTGTTCTCTTTCTTCCACCAACTCTCGTCATTCAAATTACAATGAATTCCCATTGAACAGCTACAGATACAGCAAAACTTAATACAATCTTGCCCTCAAGCACCATATTATGAAAATAGGAAACTAAAAATCTCACTGGGATTATAAGGAAAAGTAGAAACATATCATTGTATCATGCATGTAGCAGTTAAGAACGAAACAATGTACAGTGCAACAACGGATAAAGAATAAGTAAAGGGATGTGAAGAAACTGTCGTGGTTATGAATGGATACAACGTTTTTGATAGTTTTCTAGCAATATTTAAGTTTTTGAGGTTATAGTAGCTTGTGAATGCTTTCTTTACTTGAAATTGAACAATTCCTTATTTCATTAATGTCAGTCAAATTCCAATCAACTATTTTGACATTCCAAGAAATCATGAACTCGTTCCACCAATCTCAAACTAAGTTCCCATAACATCACCTAAACTGCTTCCCCCAAACACAATTCATTTCCAGAACTTGCGCTATGTATAATTTGTGTCTGAAGAAAAGCTCATAAAAAGGAAGAAATCTCTTCTTATTCTTACCAGACTCGTTTCATCCGTTCCTACTTTCTTGGCATGATATATCGTTGAAAATGGTTGCTGCTGATGCTGGTTATTGTAGATATTTGGCAATGATTTAGGTTGCACTGATGCAGTCTTCGTCGGTAGAATTGGAAGAATAAACATTGGACTTTGAAACATGCTCGATACTTTAATTGCTGATGAGAAGGACGTTTCTGTTTTTGTTGTTGATGATGGCACTGAAATTGTCGTTCCTGTATTCGTCGGTTGCTGATTGCTTGTTTGCTTATTGCAATTTGTACATGACGTGCGTTCGTACGGTTGCGTTCGCTTCTTTATGTTTACTTTTTCTTTTCCATTCCACAGATTTAATGGAAATGCTGATAAAAGCACTACAGGCAGAATTTTTGATTTTGGTGATGACGATGTTGATGAAATTGCTGTCGATGCATTCACTTTTGATGATTCCATTCGAATATGTGTCTGGTGTCTTGTCAATTTTTTTTTGATGTTCTGTATTCTGTCCTGCTTTTTATTATTTCTTCCTTTCGAGTCTCAGTTCTGACTGAAAAGCTTATTAAATTTTCATTTCCAACTGCACTTTTTTTACGATGATGAGAATTTCTCCTTCATGTTCTGTGCTTGCACTTCTATTTTTTAATGGTAAAAGTTTATCTTTTGTATTTCTGCTTTGCCACCTCTGTACACTACTGCTGTGACTATAATATGTGTGGCAAAAGTGACGATGAACTGTAATAACACAAAAATATTAAATAAGTACATAAGTAACTCTCTCACTCACTGTCTACGGTATTATTAATGATGTAATTTTATGTATTAAATGTGATAATAATAATATGAAAAATGAAAGTTAAGTATGGAAGGCATGTTGAAGCAGGGATAGACTTCTGTTATGCATAGAATACAATGTCGAATGAATCACAATCATTGAAAAGTTCGAGTCTCATCCCAGACTGATTCCAACTCAGCCTTCCATCCCATGTGAAAATTTCAACACCAATCAAGGACAATTTGCATTAAAATTAAGCGAACAATAGCGACTAACAATGTTGCTGACAAAGCGCCTTTCTCCTTCATTCAAAAAAAAAAAGAACTGAATCCGTTCATAAATGTGAGAATGCTTCTCATTTCCACCACGCAAATTGCTGCTATTGTAATAAAACTTTAATTAGACTACATCTGGAATTGCTATATAGCACTGCTTCATACTTGTTTCCATTTGCTTTGTTCTCGCAAACAGACGTAATATAAATAGAAAGGAGTTATGTTATTGGTTGTAGAGCATGCATGTTGCAGTAAAGTTCAACTCTGAAATTTCAAATTCATGGAAAATTTTAGATGAGGAATTAGCAGAAAGAGATGTGCTGCATGTGATGTTAATTTTAAAATGGATATTCAGGTGGAAACTTTTAATGAATAGGAAGCAGTCATTTGAAACGGGGATTTTGATTTTCTTTGAAAACTTTAAAGCTCCTCTTTGTAGTCTGCATTAATTGTGCTTTGTGGATTAATTATACATGCAGAACTCACACTTGCATCCAATTTAACAATTAATTCCAGTGGTTTTTGAGAATGCTGGTCAATCAATGATCTACAACATTAAGCTTCTGAATCAAAATTAAATTCGTACCAGAATCAAACCATTAAAGCTGTACCTAGCTATTTTGTCGTCAGTATCTTTCCACATCATCTTTTTATAGCTGAGACACAACAATGTTGGCTATCTCCAAACGTAAATACAAATAAGAAGGAAACTAAATAAACTTTGAGCTTCATTGCAATAATAAAAGAAGGAAGACGAAAAAGGTGATTAAATGGATGATGGTAGAAGGCATGACATGACGATAAGGTGTTTAATTAGTGACACAATTCCCTATTTAATAGAATTATGAAAGAAAGTATAAACACAGTGGAAGGGAAGAAGTGTTGTTTGCTGCTCTAAGGGATGATTATAAGGGATCAAATTATTACAAAATGAGGCGAGGAAAGATGGAAACAAGGAAGAGAGGATTAATTGCAAGAAGATGTAAGCAATAATAATAATCCTTTATTTAATTAATGATATACGTCGGAACAAACTGAATTTATCTTGATGTTAACCTCGTCGGTTTTAAATCAAATGTAAAAATGAAATGTGATTATTGAAATGACATGAGTTAAGTTTGAACTATTGAGATGCGGTCAAAAAAAAATTAGCAAAAAGACCGAACGATGTAAGCAAACACTTAAAGAAGCTGAAAGGAGATTAAATGAGATATTTTCTTTCCTTCTTTTATCCAAGTCAAGTAGTTTGCTCTTCCTCTACAATACACTGACTGTCGTGGTTGTGGACTTAATCCTGAATTCTTCACATGAGATCAACATTTGAGGAAGTTTGTACAGCTTGTAATACATTATAACTAATCTTGATATAAACATTTGATGAGATAATGCATGGAATATAAATTTTGTTCCAAGGTCTCCTATTCTATGACTCACAAGTCTGCAATATTATTCTATGTTGATGGATGTAGGAGGCTGTAAAAATTCATTGGTTTCGATTACGATGGTTTTGTAATCTCTTCTATATTTATAGACTTGAAACACCTAAAGATGTTTGAAGAACTGTTTTCAATAAAGCAACATAAAGTTAAGTAAGACGGATCTTAAGGTTTTAAGACGATAATGAGAAAATAATTTTTAAGCTCTCTTCCTGGAAGTCTTGATTCTCCTCATTAGTGATGTTTCAGTTACTTTGCTGCATCAATAAAACTTTGCCTGCACAGCAAGAAGATTTGCATGCTATTTATGGAATTAGTTTGAAACTTTGCAAGGTTAAGCTTTGATATTTGCTATGTGTAAACTTTTAAGACCTAAAATAATTTTTCCATAGAATATTTGCAACCTTCAAAAATTAATTCTCAGTATCTCATTTAATGACATAAATTAATTTATACGCGGTAGCAATTAATATGCTTTTCATCAAATACATTAACATCAAAAATTATATCTAATGAGAATTAATTATCCCCGATGTAAATTGTAGGTAGATGCTTAAAAATAAACCTTAATTTTTTTAAGGCAGTGAAACAGGGGCGTAGCCAGAAATTTGAAGAGAGGGGGGACAAAATATTTTTTTTGTATGGAAAAATTTAAGGGGGAGGGGGGGGGGGGTGATTTTTGTGTTTGTTTCATAAACACCCTAGAAAAAAGAAATTTCTGTTTACGTTGGGGGATATGCCCCCCCCCCTGGCTACGCGCCTGCAGTGAAATATGAGTCGCTTTTAATGAATATGAATGTGTATTTTTTATGTACAAAAAAATATCTTAGAGCGATGACTGCCTCCTACATTGTATCTTTAGGGAACTTGTTTTTGCATTGAAATTGACATTTGAAGAGATTAGACTTAACTCGTTGAAAAAAAGATTGCAATAATACCCAAGAATAAATCCATTTCATTGTGAAACGATCTTGAATTGAGCTTACAGAGGTGTTACGTTACTCTGACTTAAAAAGTTGATTACCGCCTAGACAACAGTTAAGTGGCATTTTAAAGTTCAATGTCTTAAAAAGATGAATTTGTCAACCAAAAGAAGAGCTCTACGGTTGAATTTATTTGAGAAACCTAAAATCTCTTATCAAATTATGAGTTCGATTGCCAATTAAACCAAACATCCTTACAAGGAGCATTGAAGATCGAAAATCTTCATTTCAAGAAATGCCGTGTCTAATATCATTTTGAGAAGAACTTAGCAGAAATCCAAGAGAATTCGCATCTCAAAGCCCATTAATGATCTCCTATTTTAAGAATCAACTGGAATTAACAGAAACATTAGCCTATTTAAGCTATAGCATGTCTACTAATAAAGTTCAATGTTGTTTTGTCATAAACGATTTCTATAGAAATAGAAATAATTGTGCAAGCTATGAACCATTTATTCAGATCACGCAATCCCGTCAAATCACTCGAATCTGTTTGCACAACCAAAAAAAAATTAAGGATATGAAGGAGAAAAGAAGTCAGTAAAATATTCAAGCAAATTTCAAACAAAAATCCAAAATGTTTATGTATCACAACCCCACTAAATAAGAACGTCTCATCAAATATTAATCATCATGTTACAAAAGAGCGGAAAAATTGTTTTTTCTCTTCTCGTGCTTATTTCTTTTATTTTCCTTTTTCCCTTTCATGATGTTCAGCTAGCACAATAAGTAATGTTTTAAATATGAGGAGAGAAACTGTAAGAATCCTGGCGAGTCAAGCTGTCGGTTTAATATTCTATAAACACAATTTTTTTCTTATTCTTCTTGTCAGGGTTGTAGCCGAGATTTTTTTGGGGTCTAATCTTGTTTCTTCAATTTGCTGAGATTTTTTCAAGTGAAAAATAATCATCAATTCCCCAAAAAATTGTCTATTCTTATTACACATTCCCTTAATTTTCAGCTTCACCCCTGCTTCTTGCTCTCCTTTTATTTCGACTCACAAGACTATTCGCTTTGTGCAGTATAGGAAGAGAACAATTGTTACTACCCATTGTTGTTGTTAGTTGATGAAAAAAATAGCTTTAAGCTTAGCAATAAGTGCCAGCATGTGATTTCATTTCCGCATTTTCTAAATAAATAAAAAAAAAAAGCACAAAGCACAGAACTAGTTAGTGAACACAGTTAAAATTTTTGCAGTTCTCTCTCTTTGTTTTGCTTCTTGTTTCAGGAGGCACTGTTTTTGGAACGGAAATGTGTTGTCATGCTGTAAGCTGAATGTCTGTCTTGTTGTTATGTGAAGAATCCGATGCATTTATCGTTTCAGTCTAATTGCAGTAATATCGATGAGGAATGAGATGTTATTGGGATTGGAATTAAAATATATGGAATTCTAATTGTAATTGGCATAGTGTGAAGTCAGTTCCTTAGACATAGTTTATGGATATTATGGAATATTACGAAGGTTAACTCAACATCCAGAATAGAAAAGTTACCAACTTCCAGCCATATCTTTAAAAATCAATTTCAATCCCCAAATGCGCTTCTCCTAGACCACAGCAACCCCAAAAATCTTCCAAACTTCCCCAATTTCATTTCTCTCTGTATGTGCAGGATAAATCCTTATAAACAGTCACTGCAGTAGTTTAACAGCAAACAAGAGCTCTCTTTTACGATTTATAACTAAAACGTTTCCGCCTTTAAAACCACGTATCAATTCCTTTCTTGCTGCTGCTACTGTTACTTGTTATTTTAAAGTAAGATTATAATCGCGGTTGGGGGGTTCTTTTTTTTGAACATAATGGTAGAGAAAAAAGTTTTTTTTTTCAGCTATAGCACCCGAAAAAAAAGCTCACTTGTCAGGTAGAAAGATATATTTGCGGCTTAGACAGCGAACGAAGGCAACAAAGAAATAAATAAATAAAAACAAAAAAATAGAATAAACTGAGTGAGAAAAGAAGAAATAACAAACTTTTTAGACAGAGCTTTG